GAAACTTTGCGCGACAAATTTTTTAATGAATTAAATAAATATCCTAAGTCGATTCTGTGCCATTTCTTTCTTTCTTTCTTTCTCTCTCTTTTTTTTTTTTTTTTTTTTTTTTTTTCTCTCTTTGTGAAAAGTGTGCATTCATTCTGTAGATATGCTGAGAAATCTTGATGCCCCAGAATCAACTTAAAATAATTTCTGAGGAAATTTTACAATTAAATGAAAGCCATTAACACCTAACCCTCATTGGGAATGGTAAAAGCGGTGTTACATCAGAATTACGTGTGGTGATAATGATAGAACAACGAGTCCAGTGTGCATCTCAATTCTGTGACAACAAGAGGATTTACGAATGCAGACGCTGAGACAATCGGGGGGATCCTTCTACCTTACATGTACTGACACTCCTCATGAACGTGAAATTACAGTTTACAGTTCGATCATCAGCAATAGCTGTCCATCCTTTAGGATACTTAAAAGATTCATTAATGATATAGTTCATTACACTACTGTTATCTTTAGAGCGCACCAAATAGCACTTCTCACTCAGTAGAATAACATAAAGCTAACATTAACAGCATCTTTTGTAAAATGGCCTGTCGCTCCATCGGGCAGCATGATCCACGAGACATAGTTTGTCGTCTCCTAAATCTCTCCATCAACCCTTCAGTAAGAATGAGCTGAGAGATTTTATCAAAACCATATTATGTCTTCGAAATAGTACACTTTCTCTGAAGTAACGATTTTATGACTGAAGTTAATTTTCTACAAACTCCTTGCACGTGAAAGGTTATTACTATTGTTTTTCCTTAACCAATTATTTTATGTTTTGGATCTTTACTTTCACTTCTCGTTTACGTTTCTCTAACAAAACGTATAGCTAATAATAAATATTAAAAGAAAAAAAGTGAAAAATATATTGATGAAATTATTTTAAAACGTATACAGCATGTAGTTTAAGCCCTCTCAAGAAAACGTGGTTTACATTTCTGAGCATTTATAATAATTTTACATGGGCATTATCCATTAATTTTTGGGACTTCAATTCTTACTTCTTGAAAACTTGCTCTTATTTGACTTTGACTGGATAAAACATACATTTTTCAGTTAACATACGATTTATTGCCGCACCCAACGTGAACTGATGAAACTTAACACAACGTAAAATTGGTTACAAAAACAACGTCTTAGGTGGAGTTGGACATCTCATTGTGCAATCCCTCAGACTCTTAAAGTTACCACATTGCTTCTGCCGAACGCATTCCGCTCGGCAACTGGGGAATAGAGTCCTCGTAAAGTCCGCCCGGTCTCACTGGGACAAGACAAGACACTTGTAGGATCCACTCGGCTACTCTAGTTTTGACCACCTTTAAGCAAAGTTCACTAAACTGCTGGATTTGACCGGTTCTCTTCTGTAGAATTGACTCAAGTAACTGGACTTGATCGGATCTCCTCTAGGAAGGACTTAGCCTGCCTGGCGATACTGGCACCCTACCCACTCTACTCGAATCTGTTACAGCTGCAAATCTTTTTAATAGTGGCAACTGCCGTTGCATAGACTGAATATGCTTACTTTTAGAAAATATTTGACACTGTCTATACCAGGGGTGGCTATACTTATGTTTGTAGCAACCGCATGTGCGAAATCAGGAAAGTTCGAGAGCCGCAAAAGCCTTAAGTTCATATTCATATCACTTGCCGCTCAGACAGGAAAGAGTGTGGCATCAGGTCCCGAAGAAGCATGGATGTAAAACTGTCTGTCTCTTCACAGGAGGAATCGGTAGCGCCTATTAGGTGACTGCATAATAAAATGGCCACCACTTCTGACCTTAGTACCAACGAAGCCTAAAAAGGCTAGTGCCAGTCATGAATAAATCGTTTTAAAAGTAGCGAAACAGTCTTCATACGATTTAGGTTATATTGAAAGAAACGTGTGATTCTAATCAATGACAGTTTGCTTGGACAAAGAGTAGTTTTAGTTTACTATATTTCATAAATATATTTTATTTGCATACGAGCTATACTTTCTTGGGTTATGCAAACATTCATTGATAAGGATATTCAGTGCATTTTTGTAATTTACAAGAAAACAATTTTGTGGGTCACTTTGACAAAAATTACTCATTTTCAGGGGAAGGCAGCTGATATTATTCTAATATAATTACGATAAATGATTATATACTCATATGAATTCTTTCGAAAATTTTCTTGCGAACTCATTTTGATCTTAGATCCCTGGAAAATAATGCTTATTTGAACTATGTAGTGCTTTATATTGTACCATCCTATGTCTTACATCTAATAACTAAAAATATGAAATTTTAATAACAGTTAGCATAGTTATGGCAGAACATATAAATGAAGTCTGCCAAGTCCAAACTAAGAGGTTTTTAACGCTGTCTGCTGATAATATGCTCTAATGACTGCATGTCTAGCTAGCATTCAAAGATTCGTGGTTTCGAGTCGTGTATTTTTCATGTATATGTTTTAGTGTATTTTTTATTAAGTCCTAGTGTGTGTATCGAAGAGTTATCTATGTGTCCTTGTAAGGATCTTAAGTTTTACTAACGTTTATTTTATTTTAAATCTTTACTATCACTTCTTATTTTCTACTTCCGGCCAGAATTATAAGCGTTAACGTATTTATGCAAAGTTTGTCTGGCGAACGCCAAGTATTTAAGTTGTGGCTTTTTGCCAAGCTAGAGAGAGGAAGCAGTTAGTCGAAGCAGGCCGCTTACCTTAGAAGTTTTACTCAGTTGCTGGTTGCCTTCCAGGCCAGAGGTTTTAATCCTCTTGATAATTTTAAACGTATGTAGTGTTCACAGTTCTCTGTAATACATACGGCTTCTGTTAATATAAGGCCAATCTTCCACGTTTATTATTTTAAAGTTAAATTAGAGTTTAGTTTTATTTTATATTTTTACGTTAGACCACCAAGTAGTGGGTCTTTGTATTCCGAAGTACGGAAGTTATTGTAAATAGAGAAAAATAAAGGGTTTTGTATACCCTTCTTGTGTATCCTGTCTACTTCCCACAGTTATTGAACATAGCTTTAGTAAGCTCTCTGTTCCGAGTCAGGTCCTTGCATGTTCCCAAAGAAAGTAAGACGGAACATTGAACCTGATATCCTAAGTGTTTTCTGCTTCAGAAAACATAGCGGTAGCTCCCTATATATGGTTTGAAAAAATATTCCATTATTCAAAAAGGTGGAATGATACGAGACACGAGTAGTTTAAGGGAATCTGGCCCGAATATCATAAAAGAAGCATCATATTGAGCTTGAAATTTGCAGAACAAATTTATTAGTTATAGACCCTGTTGAATTCGGGCTATACAACAGCAAATTTTAGAATTTTGTCTATTACGAAATATCATTTTCAGACCAGAGTAGGTAGAGCTTTATTGTCTGATTTGGGGGCATAAACTAGACACCCTACTGGAAGACGAAGTAGGGAATTCTCGCTATGTCTTGGAAAAGAACAGATGACTTTCAGACGAAGGTTCTAAGAGCCTTTTTATTTTAACTAAACGGAACAGAAATGCACTCAATCGATGCTCACAATTTAACCACCACTTGTGGCTAAGTAACTTGAACCCAAGTATGTACAATCACAATGGATTAAATTTCAGCTACACGACTGGCTCCTACTCAACCTAAACCGCTTAATCGGCTGCAAACGACAAAGCCGAGAATAGCAATATAATACAAAGTAAGTGACTAGTGCCAATTGTTCAACTAAACAGAGCTACTTTCAGACAGGCGGCATAAATTCAGAACTAAACTATCTTACTGCGAATTTCTAAAATCTGCTACTTAGTTTCAGCTTATTTCCGAACTTGCATATACGTCATTCAAGAAATTGAAATCTGAAGAGAAAGGAAAGTTTCTTAAAATAAAAATAATTGGTTAGAAGCAAAATAAATTCTTTACAAATATCGCTTGTAAAGCAAATACTTATTTTTGTCCTTTTGCCTTAGGCAACAAGTTAAAATTTCGTATTGATTTTCCAGAAATACATGACGAATAATAAGACATTAAATACACTACGAACTGGAAGTGATACAAAACAGCATAACTCAAATTCATTACAATTTTTTAAAAAAAAATCTCGCTAATAAAATACCAGAAGAATATAAAATACTTAGTCGATTTTTAAAAAAGAAAAATGCTGAATAATAAAGATTATGCTCTTCAGATTGAGATCCTGTACAAAAAGAGTTACCAAATGTCTGGGGATGGACATGGGAGTCTTGGACCTATTAGATTGTCCGGGATTATGTCCTGGACTGAGAAATGTCTCGAAGTTTTAGATGCCTTTCTGCAAAAGTTGAAGAAGAAATATTAATTTATACAAAAAGGACAAGATTATGAATCCTGAGTAATGTTTTCATCGCAATGCAGTTATTTCCGGATAAAGTCAAAATATTTTTTGGATCATAGTAGGCAATTTCATTCATCTTTACAATGGACCCAAGATGGGATTTAGCAGTTATGCTGGCGAACCGGTTGTATGAATTAAATTATAACATTTAGTCTAATTTTAAACACTGCTTACTTAGTAGATAATTTTTTGATTTAAGCAAGGAACCGGTTTTTGAATTACTTGAATTCTACCACTGAATCCAACAGCAGCAAAATATATTCATAATATTCTTCAATATTTTGAATATTCTATTGATCGAATTCCTTGCTTTAACTTTTCCTTTTATCCCTTCGTATAAACTTTAATTTCTTATGCAGGACTGTATAATTTACAAGTCGTACTTTTTCTTAACCCTGAAATTTATTTTCCATAAAGTGTCCTAGATTTTCGTTCTTGAAATATGGTAACACAACCTAAAAACAATTTTAGACTTACCCCATTATTCAGTTTCTTGAACCTAAAACAACTAATAAATTAAAGTTTTAAACAGAGTCGTTTATTTGTGATATTTATGTATGGAGTGTGAAGTATCTGATTTTTTTATAGAAAATCATAATAATAATGACACATTTGTTTAAATGTATATACAAGTTACAAAAATAGTTTATTCAAGTAAAGTATACAAGTTAAAATAAAATTCATAAGCCTTAACATAAAATTGTCCCTTTAAAATCATTATTTATTAGCATTATTGTACGCAAAAATTGGTGGGGGAAAAGACGGAACATAAAATGGTGGCACCATAGGTACAGACTTCATTATGGCAGTATACGAAGAAAAAAGAAGAGGCGGAACAGAATTCCGTCCTTTCAGCTGTGTAAGAAGTATTTTGTAAAAAGCACCAATCTGAAAACTATTCAGAAATAAAGTATTTTGGGCCGAAATGCTGTACTTCATAGGCATTATATTTTGAGGACATAAGCTCCAAGGCATAATTACAAATGGCATTTTAGAATATATCTTCCATAGCAAAAGTTCCATGCAGGTCTTGGCATCCTCGATGCTGTTGTGTCCTCTCCAGCTGACTTGGATGGATTTGCCCAAATGTATGGCAGCAAGGTGCTTTAGAGAGTGCTTGTATGGAAATCCCCTATCATGAGGAAACAGGCAAGAAGTATCCACAACACTTTCGTGTATCAGATTAAGTCCCAAAAGATCATTTGCCAGTCCATGCCCAACAAGGATGGAATCTTTGTTCAATAAACTTAACAAAAAGGATTGTACTCTCTGAAGTGTTGTGTCCACACCATCGAGATTATTTCGATTCACTCCACTGTAAACAGTATTGTAATCCAGAATTTGGTGTTCTGGCTTGACGTAAGAATCATAAACGACTATACCATAGACGTTCACTAGCGTTACCCTTACAACTTCCATGCCTTTTGTGGTAAACGCCATTTCGCAGTCCAAAGCAAATACATTAGAAAGAGCATCCCGGCGGAAATTTTTTTTGCACTCTGTTTGAACAAAATGAACATCTTGGAATGGTCTCAAAAAGCTCACATGATATTTGCTGTGGGTACAGCCTTCAGAAGACAACTCTCTCTTACAACAACTATAAGAAACTTTTTTCCGACCAACAATGAAATTACGCTTTCCCGGATGGTACTTGCAACCATTTTCATCCAAATACCAGTTCTCTTCCAGCAAGGATAACTCTTTACCACATCGACAGATCTGCTTTTCCGGATTCAAGGAATCTGCAAAAATTGGGTTGGCTGTCAAAATAACTTTTCCGGGATTGTTTCTGTCTCCTACCGGAAATCCATTTTCTTTCATCTCTTTATAACTCAATTTGTGGCGTTGTATTTGTTTATGAAGTTGTTCGATACCCAAAGGAGCCCACCATTTGTTCTCGGTTGCCTTCATTTTGATAGAGAAAGATTGAAAGATTCTGTTCTTTCATATGAGCCACAATGAAGGTTCACGATGTAGGTAGAAATGCAGAGCTCTTAATTTCGAGACAACAAACCTAAACAAAAGAAAAGGAAGAGAAAATGTAAGAATGTTATATTACAGGACAGTAGCAAGATAAAATTATTTTAGCATATTTTATTTTACTATTACAATACCATCGGCAAATTTGTACATTAGTTGACCACAGAAACGTGTTTATAAGTTGCTTTTTACCCTGTTATGAATTTTTTTTTTAGGTTGCAGAAATGTTTTCAACAATCGAAAAAGTTTTAGAAAATAATTCTTATTTCCGAAGGACGCAATCGGGCATTTCATCTTCTGATAAGTTTCTTCATCCAAAATTTCAAAGAATTCAAAGATATAAATGCAATTAATTGTATTTTAAGTGTGCTCTAATTTCTGTTTCCGTGTTCCAATTCATGCATATATTATTCCGAATTCAAAAAAATTCGTGATAATTACTACTACTTTCAATTGCTACTATTTCGCAATATCTTTGAATTGAGAGAATTACAACTACTACTTCTAAACTTTCTGCTGCTGTAATGTTTTTTAAAAGCTTATAATGTTTAGAATCTGTGAAGATCTTAACGTAGAGAAACAGCCCGGAACGCATATTTCACAAGTGCACATCAGCATAGCCACTGAGGAAGGGGTTTCGAAAATGGACCAGTGAGCTGCTATTGCTTTTGCGGAGCGTATGTTGTTTACGTTTTAATTTGCACTTGTTTCACATTTATAAATATATGGCGTAATAGTAGAAAATCTCCTACTCCTTTAGTTTTCTGATTTGATTAATTGCTGACATTTCACTTTCGCGATTTTTATCACGCATTAATATTACGATTGATGTTCACGGCATATTATGTGGATTAAGAGACTTCAAGTGTATACAGTCACAAGTCGTTAATCCGGACTCGTCGGAACTTCAACGATTCCGGATTATCGATTTTTCCGGATTATAGATCATCAGTTTAAATCGCGTAACATGGCATGCAGAAATTCTAAAATTAAAAATATAAAACCGTAATTTATGAAATAAGAACAATTATGATCTAAAGGTATCAAAAAAAAAGCTTAATATTTATTTGTTTACTTTATTAAACATTTCTTTCAATGTAAGTTGTTTCGTTTTATGTGATAATACTTTCTCTTTAATTCTATAAACAGACAATTTTTTGTTCACTTACAAAGTTCCCGCTGTTCAAGTCCCGTTAATTGCTGAGCCGAGAATACCGACTAACTTGTCAATCGAAATTTTTTCGGTTTTCACTAACCTTCTGTCACATTCTTCATGTCTTTATCCATTTTTTGCAGCAATTCCACTTTTTGTTTGATGGACATCGAAAATACTTTCGTTTTGTACGATCCTTTGGGAGCTCCAGAATCAAAAATTCTATTTGACATAATCGAAAGTTCAAGTTTACTTTTATAGTATTGGCTCTTACAGGCTGCAAAAAATAATAAGCCGGATCCAATTCGAAAATTAAGGAACAACGCAATCATCAACATTAACTGAAATAGATAATTAGATAATTTTAGCTTACACCGTCCGTTATACATAAAACGCGCACGTGAAAACGTATTCTGCGCTTGCACACACGCAAATGCGCAGTCGTAAGAGGTCTTACGCGCACGCGTAAACGCCTATGCGCATGTGTCAACGCGGAGCATGCGCAGAAAGTTTTTAGCTTTGAGGTCCGGATTATAGATCATTCTGAATTATGGGTGTCCGAATTAACGACTTTTGACTGTATTTTTTTAATTGAACTGAAAACGACTGAAAGTGTTACAGTCTACTGTTTTTTTATTTCAGTGCTTGCGTTCTTTTGAGTTTTAAAGTGTAATATTCAGAGTATATATGATGTGATTATATCCATTGTTAATATTAAATACTCGTTGTGAATATATGTGAATAAATTGAATATACTGGTTGTGAATACGATAGATTCACTCTGTTTTATGAGTATTCCTTGTGTAGACAGTACATTTAAGAGTGATCAGTTATTAAATGTGAAATTTAACACACTAAATGTATACGAATGGAAATTAGTAAAGTTCACTTTGAATAAAATTCTGCATTGGTTATTATTATAGAACATCTTTTTCATATAGACTGAATTAAAAAGTACTGACTTCTATTTACATATATAATTGGTGTAAATATTTTTCTCATACGCATAGTTTTATGTAAAGGTTGCATTTGGGCTCAGATGTTTATCACATATTTCTTTCTTTCTTATTTGCCACTTATTAAGTAATATTTCACTTCGATATCTTTGCAAAGTATCCAACATGGGTTCTGTATTTATTTGAAACCAGGTAGTGAAATCTTCATTAATTGCCTATAATTTCATCTAACTTCGCAATGAAAAGTTACACAAGCAATCGACGATGCTTTAATTATTTTGTACAGAAAATTGCGGGGAAGAATGATTTCAACCATCTTACTTAAATCTTAAATAAATAGCACGCGAAAGGTCATGTGACATGGCAGAAATATTACTGGATGATCATTGGTCCATCCTAAAAGCCACTCCCTCGGTGGCTACACAGATGTGCACTTGTGCTTATGCGCCCGGAACACATAGAATGAAAATGTTAACGGCTTGCTGAAAACAAAAGTGGCAACACTTTTGCTTCGAAAATGCATCTAGCCTTTTTTATGTTGAAATTAATGCAGATTTAATTTTTGCCACTTTAAATAACTATCAAAATTGCTTCGTAGCTACACTTGATAACTTAATATGTATTAAACGCTACCTTAAGAGAGAATTTTGAAAGCTCCAGAACTTATAGACGTTGTGTTATACCTTCAAAGGAGAGGAAACCCTTGTAGGTATAAAAAAACCGTCTGTACAGGGGACTGTGAATGAAAAAACAAAACTTTACAACTTCAAAATGTCGTGCTGAAACTCATGTTAGCGATCATTATCCCATGGAAACAATACTAGAATATGCTTTCTACAAACTTAATGCTTTTTGCGAAGTTGAACAAAGATTCGCAATCATGTTCTCACATTGCAATGTAATCGCCAAGGTCTGAATGTTTTGGGGGAAAGGCGGGTATATACAGTTTGATCGAAAATCGGTAGACATGAAACATTGCATTCCATATCTAGACGCAAAATCTTTTCGTGACGATTTCCAATTTATTTTTGAAAATAAAAAATTCTTATTTCTCTTTATTTGATCAGGAAAACGAAATGCGCTTAATTACATTTAACACTTCTATATTAAAGTATGGTAACCTTTAACAGCTTGATGAAAGCATATGCTTGTATTGCCGTGTTTTGTATCGACCCTAATTAAAGGAGTAAACTTGGATACAGTCAAAACAGAAGTAACAGAGTTCCTTCATTTTTGTTTAGAAGTCTCGTAAAAGAAATTCGTAAAAGCATTTCACTTCCCTTTGTAGAGACATTAGGATTTTTTGGAAGCAGGCAAGATGAAAAATTAGTAAACGCCTTCGCCGGGAATCGAACCACGAACCTCTGAAATACCGGCCCAACGTGCAAAACCGCTACACCACGCTAGGAAAGTTGGAGAAATACCTTATATATTTATTAATAAAAATAATATCTACTGTTGCCAGCTCATAAAATGAAATCTTTGCTATGAATAAAATTAAACCTTGGGTTTTAATTACATTGATATTACTCATAAAAAAAATTTCGGCTGATCTTTGGAATATGGTAACAGGTAGTTTGGCGACATTTTCGTAAGACGATAAAGGTTACTAGGTAGGACTTTAGCAATAATTTGAGAAGTACACAGTTCGAATCACAGATTATTTTGTCTGAGAGAAATGAGAGATCATGAGAAATGTAATGTGATATTTTCCGGAAAATTCCGATCGTGATTTTAGCTAATAAGCACTTAGAAACGATTTCGCTGCTAAATTGCAGAATCGCCCACTTATTTGTTTGGCACTTTTTACAAGACCAAGAAGAATTGGATTTTTGTCAATTTTCTTTGACTTTTTAAGTGAAAATGGGTCGATGTGTACATGGATAAATTTAAGAGTGTGCGCAATGCCATTTTTGCGCAATTCTGGGATTTTTTTTTAAGTCAAAATAGGTCGATGTGCACATGGATACCGAATATGTGCAATTCTTAAAAACGCGTTAAGCAGTGGGTGATTCTGCACTTTACCCAAAATTCTATTCCCGACTTTTCGTCATGGGCAATTCCCAAATTGTTAAATCCATAGGATATCAAAAAAGGATTTAAAATCAAAAAAAGAATTTAAAAATTAAACTAGTATGTTAATGGCGTCGTAAGAAATATAGAACTATATAAACTTACGCAATCTGAAATCAGCGCGTACGCTAGATTTGGCGCGCTGTTAAATGGGCGCGTTTGCTAGATTTGGCGCTTTTGCGCATACATTTTCGCTGCAATTTTTTTGCGGTCCTCAAAACGGAATAGTACCAAAAAGGGTACGTAGACTTGGAGCTGTTGAAACTCAACGAAACTTACTTGCCTTAAAGCTTTAATATAAAATCGCTATGCTTATATAAGCTATATTCAGTAAGTGCATAAGGAAATATCAGAATAAAAACCAGTCAGATTAATCGCGATTTTGCACTTTCTCCCAATCTCCGTCACCTAATCTCCGTCATCTATTGTTCCATAAAAGTATAAAAGTTCTAGCATAAGCGTAATTCGGCAAAAAAAGCAAAAAAAAAAAAAAAACTTTGTGACTGGTAGGCAGGTTGCTGTAGCAGGGTTGGTCGCCAAATAATTTTCGCCAAAACATCGCTAAGTTACCATAATCCGAGGATTCTCTAAAATTTCGATTTTAAAAACTCCGTCATTCATTTACTCCGCACTTCGCATTTGAAAACCCAATGGCATAAGCAAAGAATGAATATGAAATGAAACATCTGATGTGGACACCACATGATTTCCTTATCGTATTAAATTATACGTTATTTTAATGCATTAAATTTACTTCATTTCATTTAAACCTATTTTCTCGAATTTCATTAGCGATGTCACAAAAAATATATACACTCAGAAGAAATGGAGTCATAATCACGAAATTAGGCA